GAAATGTTTTTGAGAAAGGAAGCAAATGAGTCATCTCTAAACTTTCTGATAAAGTAAATATTGCAGACTTCACTGTGCTGGATAATATATTTAGACTGTCATTAGTCATTCAGGCATTATAAGAGTCTAAGAAAAATGATTCTTTTTCTCTCTCTAATAGAATTATCAAATTTAGAGATTTTTAGGACAATAGAGCTATAGAGCACAGGAACCTTCCATAAGTAACAACCTTCCCTTGATTCAAGCATTTTGATTGACATATCTTTAGTACCACTTTAAACAGATAAATATGATATTTTTCTCTTTTAAAAAGGTAATTCAGAGATGGAGGATTTTGTGGTACACTGAAAGTTAATAATTTTTCCTTTTTAACCCTTAATCAAAAACTTTCTAATTCTAGGAATTTAGTTTGACTCTCAATTTCAGGAATATAAATGAACTTGGGATAAGTTTATCCAATATATTGCTACTTGCTATATGTGATTAGTCAGTCACACCATCTCTGTGTTTCCTTCTGACATTCCACAAAGAAACACTGAGGAGGGACTACTGCAATCAAAGAAATGTTTGATAATATTACATAATGTCACAACCCGTTCAGTGATATTATTACCTACCTGTTTAGAGTAATCAGAAAGTCACACTTTCATGGCACTCCACCCACATACACATACCCACAGACCCCATATGACACTGGATCCAACTGCCTTATCCAACAGACACAACACTGGGTTCAAAACTGTAGGAACTGAAAAGAGGACTTTGGTGAAAATGAAGTGACTCAATTCCCAGAAGGCCAACAAGTTTCAAAATCCTTTAAGAACCATCAGGGCTCAGGCTGGCTTTGTTCTTTTTAGGCTTAGAGTAATGACTCACAGCTGACTTCTTGAAGCTTGGATTTTGCCAAAAATCTAGAGTTTTAAATAGATACAAAAACCCCTTGAAAGGATTGCAATAAGGACTACTAGGATTACAGTCCTAATTTTCAGAAGGCAAAGAAAACAAGCTGCCTTTGGAGAGGGATTAACAGTGTCTGGTCTTCTTGTGTGCCCCTTGCTCCATGTCTGGGTAGAAATTCTGAGTCCCCACCCATGTGCTCACCCTGAAACAGCCTCACTGATGTGCCGCCCTGGGCAAGTCACTTTCTCATCTAAATAATCTGGATAATAATAGTATTCACCTCAGAGGGTTGATGTGAAAGCAAATAAGCTCAAATGCAATGGAGTTTGTACTTGGTAAACAGGTGGCAGACAACAATAATTGTTTCTACTATGATAGCTTGTAGCCTTACACTGGAGGAGCTTTCCACAAGGAATCAAATTGCCTGAAAATGTCAACAAGGAGAAAAAATTCCCTTTAAATAATTCATGGTCAATTCTTGTTTTTTCCATGAACATTGATCTTAATGTGACATAAAACTCATTAAAAACTCATATGAAAGCTTTCTGATAAATGTGATGCTTTCTGATAAGTAAACTCTCTTTTTGTTTCACTCATTCATTCAATAAAAACATGCTGCATTGCTACTTATTGTGGAGGATGAAAAGATGAATCACTGTGCCCACCCATAAAGGGGTTACAATTTAGTAGAGAATATAATGTATTTGCATAAATAACTATATTAAGGAGCAGAAAGTATAAGAGAGAGAAGAAAACTTAAGGCAGGAGGAGGAAAATTACTCTGAGGTTCAAGAAATAACTCCAAAGAAGTATTATCTGAAATAGACCTTGAAGGAGAGTTGTGATTCAGGAAAAGTACAGTTAGCAATTGGGGAAGGTGCTACAGATTTAAGAAACAGCCTGATATAGGCAAGCACATAGGAAAAGGGACCAAGCCTGAAAGGTACAGGCAGTGTTGAAGACTGAGGGTAGGGGGAGTTGGGGGGCAACAGTGAGGCCCTTGAATATCTGACCCTTTGACCACAGGCTTGAATGAATTGCACTCTATTCTCTGTTTCTGTATTAAGCTTTAAGTCTCAAGATGTGTTTTTTAAAAGCATCTCTTATACCGTCCTTTTTGTGTGATACATATTATTAGTAGAAAGGAGCAGCATCTGAAGTTTTCTTCCAGGCATGTATTTGGCTCCTTCAGTTTTGGGTTCCTTTAGTTCTCAGGGGTTCATCTGGTGTGACGTTGGAAGAAACTGCTTGTATGTTCCACTGGGCACTCTTCAGTGGCATATCTAAATTTGCAGTCTCAGCCCTGAAACACCCACTATGTGAATACAGAGTGCTGTGAGGAGCCAGTTGGGAAGCATTTGACAGTGAAAGGCGGGCAAGGACGTGTGTAAACAGAGTTTGTTCGGGAATGAAGGCTGAATGGTAGGGCGTGTCCTTTTGACTTGACAGCCTCTCCCTAACTCTCATTAAACACCTAACTAACCTTGAATTGCCCTCTTAGAATTTAATCTCAGTGCAATTTCCAGCATTTCAAAATCATCAAACAGAAAGAGATACTTATCTGAAAGGGGGTCTTTTGTTCAATGTTAGGACACTAACTCCAACTATCAAACCTTTTAAATGCCTGAAAATGGAAAGTATGATAGATTTATGAATCACGATCTCTATTACGTTGTGTAAGTAGTAAATTTATAACAAGATAGCACACAGCTTAAAATAAAAAGTGTCCTCTGAAACTTCTAAGAACTTAAAATGCCAAAGTGTTGGCAGAATGTCTTTTATGAGGCAAGCCTTAATATTCCAGAACATTATTTTGGGGTTTCTAGAATGCTAGTTCATACATCAACTCTATTCAGCAGTGAAGTCTGTGCTCATTTTTTCTCTGATATCCCCCTGCTGTAAATTCCTTTAGTGGAGTAACTGTTAAGCAAGTCCTTGTGCCCCACCACTTCTCAAAGTGTTTTCTTCAGGATCCCTGGATCACCTGAAGATTCTGGGCCTCCCCACTGACCTAATCAATGAGGCTTTTGCAGGCAGGGTCCTGGAATTTGAATTATGAAGAAGAAACCTCTTTATTTCTGTGATTACTGAAGTTACTTCCACCTAGATTCTTATGTTATTGTTTCAGTTCCTACTTGCCAAACAACTGTACCATTCAAAGGTGGAATTGATGTTGGATTTAGATATTCTTCCCAGCAGGCGTGTTGACAGATGATGACATCACCCAGAGTCAAAATTGTACTCCAGTACTTTCACCAATAAGTGACAAGTAGCTAAGGAATTGTGGGTGTAATTTCAGGGGATAATTACAAACCAAATTTTTTAAATACCCAACTACTATTTACTTTTCTTCCTTTTACTATTTGTCACTTTTCTCCTGTTTTTTGTTTGCCTTTTCTTTTCTTTTGGATTTCCCCCAGATACTGTGTGATAGGATTGACTGTGGGTGGCAAGAAATGATTACAACAATGTCACTCTTGTGAAAATGTATTTTACAAAACAGTTCTATTTCTAGCTTATAAACACCACACCTCCTTGGCCCATTTAAGCTTTCCCTTTTTAAATACAAATAAATGTATATTTTAGATACCTAGCAATTTCTCTATTTTCTAAATACTACCTTTGATATTGTTTTCAAATATATTACCAGATATATCTTTACAAGTTTTATACTTTATCTTTATGTCAACCAACTGTTTTATAACCTACTGTTATGTGTTCTATGAAAGAAATTGAAGTAAAATGCACATCACATTTAATAAGGAGCCTGTGTGACTGATAACAAGAGATGGACCTGCAGACAGAAGGCCTATTTAAATCCCAGTTTATTATCCACATGATGCCAGGAAAATTTACATAATGTCTCCTGGTGGTGTTTTCCTCTTCAAATAAGAATCAAAATAATTCTTATTTCATACAGGTTCTAAATTATAAGGGTTAAAGGGGATCATGAATATTTTGTTTCCCAGTGAATATTTATGAATACCGGGTGATAAGGAAGTTATGTTTTCCTTAATCTCTGAAACAGCCTTCATCTCATTTTTATTTTCATGTTTTTCAAAAAGAGACCTGGTTTTCTTGCCCCTTCCTTTAAGGATTCAGTACATGGTTTTGCACATTTGGCTCATCCACTACCAAATGTGAAATGCAGTGACGCATTCACGTGACTCTGTTGTCACCAGTTGGTCACTAGGGGACACTGCAAGCCCAAACCTAAGTGTGATAAACCTCGGCATCATGTGCTGTGGGAGGCTATTAAAATCCTGTGCAAATGGACCATACCAGAGTAGATTTTCTTCTCTTTCTTTGGTGACATGAACTGAGCACCACAACTCTGACCTAAACCTGCAACACCATCTTACTCTTTCATTCTCCCTAACTTACCCTCGGCCCACAGTCAGCAACAATTTAAAAATTATCCCTCTCTCCTAAATCCCTAATGCCATTTCTCTATACTTACAGCCAAAGACCTGCAGAGAAATCTGAGGCCTGCAATGCCCAGCCGGGGGTTAAGGAACCACCAGCAATTCACTACCAAAATATATCCAGTGTTTCATATGTGTTTAATCTTTGTAGCCCTGTGAGTAGCACATCAATATCTTCTTTTTTACAGATTAGGAATCTGAGGGCCAAAGTGGTTCAGCAACTTTTCCAAGGTCATCCAGTTCGTGAGCAGCAGGATAGGCTTCCAGCCCAGTACTGTGCCAAGATTCTCTCCACCACCTCTCAAGACCTCCCTTCGGGTCTCATTTCTGTTCCATATCTTTCTGCCTCACCTTTTATGGAGTTTTAGAAAGATATCTTTACTCCAGAATACCTATGCCAGCATATTAAAATCACCTTGGGAGATTTTTTTTTTACAAACATTGATGCCTAGGTTCCCTCCAGACCAATTGTAACTGAAAGTCTGTGAGAGGGGCCCCAGCATCTATTTTTTTTTTCATTCTGCAAGTGATTCTGTTGTACTGTGAGACTTGAAAAACCACTGGTTTAAATAACTATATAACTCTTGTTACAACATTTTTCTATTGCTTTAAAAGGTGTATATTCTTATTTTAAAATATTTTATTAACACAGTTTCTCTCTTGTCATAATAACAGGTGGATGAGATATTTATAGATTCAGCCTTGAACAAGCATTATATCAAGAACCGAGTAGTCAGACTGACGTATGTATGTTTGGGCAAAGGTGGAGTCACAGCCTGGAGGGACAAAAACCAAAGGAGATGAGAACCCTCACACATTGTTATCCCTATGAGCTTGGCTCTTGGCTACAATTTCTCATAAATATCTTCTTTACATCAATCCCAAGATACAGGGCAACCACCACTTTGTAAATGCAAAAACTAAGACTCAGGGAGGTCAAATGATAATGTTCAAAGTTTCCCAAATGACAGCTTCCCTAAATGACAGAACCAGGATTCAAACCGCTTCAAGTGACTGTAAGGTCCAGGATACCAGAATCCATGGTCTTGGGAAAACCCAACAGCATGTGCCTTCATGCATCAAGTTGTATTCTTTCCATAGATGTGTTATTTCAAAAATATTAAGAAGGAAAAGTTGACTACAAAATGGGATCATAGGTTTTATTTGTAATGAAGCCCTAGGAACAGTGGGCATGTCCAAACAAAACATGTTACTTGTTTTAATATATGTTCTGTTCATTGTGTGTGAGGGGGAAGTCTTATATCAGTTGCAGAAATTGCTCAGAGGTTTCAATTGTGTTATTAGAAAAGCACATAGCAGAACATACATAATAGGTGTAAACCTATGGGCCTATATGACTCATCTTTTCAGAGAAAATAAACATATTCAGACAGCTGTATTTGAAGGACACAATTATTTTTCTCACCAGTAGATTAATGCCTTACTGGCCAACTTACTTTAACTTCCAAGTAACCAGTGACTTCCAGAAGGATTTTATAATTGCATAAATTCTACATTTAGGAGATAAAAAGCATGTATTTGCTGAAACTTTCCTGATTTCATGCCCCCTATTTTCAAAATCTGATTTCTCACATCTTTCTAGCAACATTATCATAGACTTTGAACACCTTTGAATTTGTAGCCATTATGACTTCACAAGTTTTCATGTGGGTCCAGAGAAATTCCACTGGTAAGCAATATTTTCCCTCTGACTTAAGATGGAAAATTACTTGGTCATAGATAGGTTTGCTGAGTTGATGTAAAATTTTGATTATATCTTGACATTCTAGAGCTTAAATGAACCACAGTATTTAAAATGCCCCAAAATTATGATTTCCTCCTTTTTTGGTCGAAGGATTCAGGAAATTAGTGCTTTTAGACCTTGGATCTTTTGAAGTGTAAAAATAAAAGATTAATACAAAAGTTTCAGGTTTTTTTAAAGACCTTTAATTGTTTGACTTTCCTACTTTAAGAGTATGTACAAATATAGTCCCATAGGTAAAGGGACTTGAATCTGCTTATATGAATAAAGCTCAAGAAATCAGACACATTTAATCTGGAGAAGACTGAGGAACCAAGAATATTGCTGTCTTCAAATATTTTATATGGAAGACATAATTAATGTTTTATGTATGTCCCCTAAGCCTAATGGAATGGGAGATATAGGGAGACATATTTCAACTCAAAATGAAGAATGTTCTTAAGAGTAGAGCTGACCAAAGAGAAACTGCCTCTTAGGGAAGAAAATTTTCTATCATTTTAGTTACTTCCCTGGGGTTAGAGGGCCACTTGCCACAGATGTAGAGATTCAGATGTCAGATACCTGAGTGATTGGCCAAGAAGACTACTTCAGTTTCTTCCAAAACTCAGAATTTATCATTTTGATGATCAGTTTTTGATGTCTTAGTCTTACCCAACTGCTATAACAAGCCTTCAAATTAATGGAGAAAATGTTCTCAAAATATATCAGAAACTTGAAGAGGGAACTTATGAAATTATCTCGGGTCAGAGAGTGATAGGTGAGCATCAGTGTGAGAGGATTAGCCCTTACACATTCAACAACTGAGGCACGATTCAGGTGAAGATACACAAAAGAGGTATTCTCTGAATAAACTCCTTTCTTCTGTGTGTCATAGCCCAGAGGAAGATGGTGTGAAAGCAGATATGGTTATGGTGTTCCAGATCCCTTCTTCTGAGCAAAGAGAAGGAACAAAGAAGAAAATCCATAGCATCTTAAATCAGAAGACAAGGAACACAAGAGCCTTGTCAAAAAATGCCTCGTCAGTACAAGTTAATGGTAAGTAGGTACTTTCTATGTGATGTGAGCTTCTCTACTAGGTCCATTTTATGCCTAATCTTAAACTTACTTACCATTATTTCCATTCGTAATAATAGCTGTAATTCAAATGGAAAAAAATTTCAAGTTAAAAGAATGACATTTCAAGGTTTTGTTATTCTCTGATGAAAGCCTGTCTGACGTTAGTAGTCAAGTAGTTTCCTGTAGTAATTGCGCTCATCCCAAAATAAAAACAAACCTTTACCACTAAGAGCGAGGTGATCTGACCCAGCCACTGCCTCCATGACTAAGGAACTGAAAAATACCAAGTGTTTAGCAACAGCTCCTGGGTGAGACCATCCTCACACATAAACTCATTTGTTGCCTTTTAAAATATGGATAGTTTCTGTATATAATGAAATTATGATGTTTTTGTTAACTTTTTGCCTATGGGCATTTGGGAGAATAGTAAACCAGCTTTGGAGCCACTAAAGCCATCTTATAAATAATGCTTTCAAAGTCACCAAACTAGAAAAAAAAATCACTGGAACCATTATATCAGTGTCACTTCTCTAAAAAAAAATCAACCTTTACTGAGGCCCTTCCCTGTGCCCTTTACATGCACCATCTAATTTCTATATTCCTTAAAGTAGAGAAATCCACTGTCATAGATGTGAAGAAGGACAAGCAAGTTAAGGACTCTAATAATTAGAATGTGCTAAAATTCAAATCTAGATCTCTAATTTCTTGAGAGGCTCTATGAAAAAAGGGTTCTGTGGTCAAACACATTTTGGAAATTCTGTCTATGATATTCATCTCTTGGAAATTCATCCTTTATGTTAGCATATTAAAGGCTAGAGGAATCCAGCTAGACAGAAACATCTTTGCCTTTGTACATCAAGCTGTTTCCACAGGCATCTACTTCCTGCAGACAAGTGCTGATTTCCCCTACAAATTCCAATGGACACCAGGCTTAAGAAAGTCAACAGAAGAGAAGTGATTAATACCAGACGTGAAACATGATGCCCTGCCCTTGTAAGGGTCTGACTGACTTTTCAAGAGGAAACCTTACCAGGAAGTGAAAATCTGAGGGAATGGGATGGGCAGGAGTTTGCTGATGTGACAAAGAGTCGGCTAGCTACTCAGGGAGTAAAGCTGGGACCTCTCCCAACCCGGGAGGGAAGAACCTGTCAAGGATTTAATCCTCCTTCTTTGTTAAATGGGCAAACAAATGAATCAAGGTTGCAAAATTGTGACAAATCTGATAAGTTACATGATGTGTTCTATGTAATTTCCAATAACTAGTTAATTTGTCAGAAATTTAAAAGCCCGATCTATCTGAAACAAGAAACGAAGCATGAAATGATCACCAGCTGCCTGGCCTTTTTGTTTCTTACAGTCTCTTTGTGAGGTGCGGCTTATTTCAATGGCTGCAGTAGATTAAGAGATAGGATGTGCTGATGGAGTACCTGATTTGAGAATTACCTAATTCTAAATCCACTGAGTCACTGAAGGACCACTCAAGTAATTGGCCCATGCCTTTGCCTCATCTGTAAAATTTCAATAATGATGTTTCTTCTTCCTGAAATCATAGAAATACAATGAAAATATACAAGACAGAAAATATAATATGGAACATAGAGGCTATTATGACTTAGAAAGCAAATAAATTGTGCATGGGCTTTGGAAACATGAAGGTATCAATGTGAGTGAGTGACTGGAAATAGACAAAGCTAGAACTTTGAAGGTTTCCAAATTTCCAAATGTAAAATGAACAGTTTTTACTAGTACTTAAGAAAGCTCCATTATTTGTGAAAAGAATCTTTAAGGCAATTCTCATTGGCAAAAACATTGCTCTCCAGGAATGTGGAGTTTTAACTGTGGGGACTCTCAATGAATGGAAAATGGCCAAAATACTAGACCAAGTCTAGAAATAACTCTGCGGCCTAAGAGTTATCCGTAATTTATCAAGAATCTGTGTTTTGTTTGACAAATAATTATAAAATGGGGGTCTCTCATTTAATTCAATGCATCAAAGCAAAGCTAAAATTAACTTATTTGCATTGCAAACACCGTGAGTGTGGAAGAGCAGCACACTACCTGAATTTAGCTGGTGTAGCTCCATCTCATAATATGCAGCATGCAGAGCCCTGAATACTAAATGATTCCTAACTCAGAAGTGTGGTAGAGGGTCATTTTCAAGACTAAGATGTTAATGTTTCTTTTCACTCCTAGACATAAAAGACAAAAATATTTTATCAAAATTACAAAAATATTTGATCTTCAAGAGCTAGTTACTTGTGTATAGGTAGTTTACCCCCTAAAAATGGAATCCTTAAAAATCCAACTATAACCATTTTGCTTAACTCAGTATCATTTCTGGAAAGGGATGATTTGCATCTTGCTCAAACTAAACTGAAGAAGTTTTAACTGAAGATTTTTAACATATAATATTGTCCATCTTAATGCATTATTAATACGGTACACATCAAATTAGTTTCTGAAAAGTGAAACAGGAAATTTATTACTTTAAAACTACACTTGACGGAAAATTGCATTCCTTCCTTAGGGTAAACACTGAGAGTCTGTGTGCAATTGATTCTTCACCATAAAATAATTTGGGCATGCATTTAAGGGTATGCTTGAATTGGATATTTTCAAAACTCCCACTTTGCAGAGCTCATTATCACTAATTAGTTTCCCAAGTAGCATTTAAAGAAGGTGAGTAGAAAGGAACATTCCTATTTTGCACAATGGGAAGTTAGATGCAGAGAATATGAGTCTGAGAACATGGCACTAGAAATAAGTAAAACAGTTTATCCTCATTCTGCTCAGTAGGACATTTTTATTTTGAAAAACATCACAGTTTTCACACAACCTTCCACCAACATAAGTTTAAGTGTTTGTTTCCTCTATCAGATTCCTGACTTTGTTGGAAATTGACAGAATTCAGTCTTAGATTCTGTCCAATAATTGGTCTTTACCAATATTCAGCAGATATTGGATAAAAATACACAATAGCTTATTCTTCAGAAAAAAATCATTTTGGTAATGTACAAACTATATTTTAGACATATGTTAAATATAGTTTATTTGGGAGTTTTCAAAGCTTTTTCCATTCTTAAACTCTTTGACCAAAGAAAGGCTTATGTGAAACCTTAAATAAGCAGAAGAGATGAAAGCAGACGTGTTCTGGTTGGGGCTGGGTTTGAGCCTGCAGATCCCATTTACTTGCTCCCTCTTTCCCACTATATCTTCTGAAGTGAAATCCAAAGAGGCTTTACTGTTCTATATTAATACAAACTATTTGTGTGTCTTGATCATCCACTATTCATGCCTTCATCACACACTGCCTGAGTTATTATTTACCTATTCAGAGGTTGCAAATAACTCTACAAATTTGTACACTTATCCTGTTATATCAGGTAGCCATTCACCTGACTGATCTATATGCTCAACTATCTAGAATCCATATATGATCAATATCTTTTGATAATTTCTGGTCATTGTGACCAACCAGGAGTATATCAGATTATCATTCTTTATTCTATTTTGTTTTTCAGAAATGAGCTCATCAACAAGGAAGCTAACTGTCCAAGCATGTAAGTTTAGTTAGCTTATAAAACAAGTTCAATTGCCACATCAGAAAGAACAATCTCTTTCTGATTATAATTTCTCACCCATGGCCCACATTTTCTGGGGATAGAATAACAATTGGGAAATAAATAGAAATGCTTTTTTAAATTCTGAAACCAATCTTTTCAGCATTTTCATGAAAAACATCTTACATGGTAGAAATTTGGGGGCAATTTGAAGAAATTATATATTTCTGATTTTGAATAAATGGCCTTGCTTTTCTAACTTTTTTAAATGTTATGAAATGTTCTTTCTGTTGGGAAGTAAAATAATGAGAAAGTGGTAAATGGAGAGGAGATAGACCCTATTATCTGTGACTGACCTAAAAAATGTGCTTAATACACTCATCTTCATAGTTAACACACTGTCCACTCACTCACTCACCATGGCCTAAATTTTGAAAGATTTTCATAAAAGTTGTGAAACATTTGACCAAAGGTATCTATGCATTTACCTCTGTGTCTTATAAACACACTAAAAATTTTTATTCATTTATTCAATAGACATATTTGTAACATCAATCATGTGCCAGAAGGTATCTATCAAGTGCCAGAAAGTGAATAGCATTGTTAACAAGATACAATCCCTCCTCTAAAATAAGAAGTTTGAAGGTAGAGTAAAAAATAAAGAAGTCAGGAAACGTTAAAATGGTGTGGTAACTGCAGTGACGGAGACAGTGCATCGTGCTATGAGAGTCAATCACAGAGTCAGCTAACCTGATCTTGTGGATTCAGAAAATGATCCCTGAGACAGGGGAAAGGACAGGCCATTCATTGAGTGACACATGGGAAGAGGGTCCTGGGCAAGGGGAGTAGTATATAAAAATATCATCAGAAGAGCAAAAATATGGTCACTTTTTGTAACTGAAAAATGTCATTGTGGCTGAAATAGAATGGTGGTTGGGAGGTATGAGAAAGGGGTGTGACTGACAGTGACCAAGGACTAGAATGACACTGAAACCCCTCATTTTTAAGACGATGATGAGAAGTCACTGAAAGGTTTTATACATATCAGAAAGATCACTCAGTTTTCAGTGTAAAGAATGGGTTAGAGGAGCAAGACTGGAGGCAGGGAGATGATCTGGGAAGATTTATAGCCCTCTGGATGAGAAGAATGGTAATGGCAGAGTGATGGAGATTTCTGAAATGACTGCCACAGCTGGAGTGTGATCAGCAAAATGAGTTTTCTTTTTGGATACCTAATTCATTGGGACAAGAACTGAATGTTCCATATATTCTTTTGTTAAAACCATGCTCTGAACAGGCTTAATTCTTAGCAGGAATACTAAACAGCAAAGTATTCTCTGATCTCTGATGCACATAATAGAGTACATACTCATTCCCACCAATAATGAAATTAGATATTTATGTGAAAACATGGAGGGTTCCATCCTGAAGAGTGGGAAACCAATCATGCTACATTAACCCATGCACACCTTAGGAACTAGTCACTCAGAAAATATATGGGAAAAGGAATTCCAAGAAATGGGTAAATTTCTTGTCTGCCCAGCTCTTCTGTTGAGAACTTCACTTCAAAGTAACACTGCTGAATCACCTAAAACTGGGAAATAATAATCTCAATAGGAACTCCCAGGACATCTAGATAACTGACACCACAAGTCCTTAGGACAAACACCTTGTGGTATGTCAACCCTTTGCAGCTTCAGTAGGTAATCCACATCCTCCTCTATAAATGTAGGGGTTGACCAAAACATCATTATCAGGAATTACAGAGGATAGATATTAATATTATACAGGTTTATATAATGATAGAATCAACCTTTACATTGCATTACCTTATTAGGCCCTCTGAATAAAAAATTATAGAGACATTTCTTATAACTTAATGATCTCATCTCTTTCAGGTTGTGGTAAACGAGTTGTTCCATTAATAGTCAACAGAATAATGTCTGGCAGCATTGCGGCCAAGGGTGCCTGGCCTTGGCAAGCTTCCCTGCAGCGTAACAACATACACCAGTGTGGGGCCACCTTGATCAGTGATACTTGGCTGCTCACCGCCGCACACTGCTTTAAGAAGTAAGTTATTGTCCTCAAACTAGGCTCTGCTACTGCTAAAACCTTTGAGTTTTATTATGTTCTGAGTAATAGTAATCAATGACCCAAATATTACTGAGGTACAGTGAGAAAAATTTTCAGGTCCTTTTCTAACATGATGTTACACTTGCATACTTCTGTGGAAGGTTAGTGAGGGTTAGTAGTCATTATCCTATTATCCATTGATCAGGTCCTCAGTTTTAAATAAAGGAATTGTGTAAGAAAGCACAAGTTATCCTAGCATAAAAATACTTACAAATAACATCTATAATTAATCTGCTCTCAAAATAATCTTCTCCATTTAAGACTAGGGTCTGTTTCTGCCAAACATTTGGGCCAGTCTCTTGCTGATTATAAGTAAATTCATTAAAAAGTTAAACTGAAATCTTCAGTAGAGATTGGAAGTTGGTAATCATAATAATGGAGAACTGCTCAAATCAAATTTATAACATTGACATATGATGATCTGGTAGAAATAGAGTAGTCCACAAACAAAATGAGGAAATTACCAGGATAAGGACAGGCACTTCAAAAGAGATTTCTTTGCGTAACAAAGGATTGAGACAGGCTCTTGGGCCACCCAGTGGGACCTTCATATAATATAGCACCTTTAGACAATGATGCTAAAAAGGCAAAATGAAAGTAAAGATAACATTTGTGCTGTCATATGATTGTTTCAAATGAACAGTTAACACTTGGTTAATTCTTTATGCATTTTGAGCATACTTACAATACAGGTAAGTGAGAATCTCCAAACCATATGTGAAGATACTATCATTACTTTATTTCACAGCACCTACCACTGTGGTCCCTTCACTCTGAATGCTCTTTGTCAGTCCCTCCCTTAAAATATGCTTCTGAGAAATAAACACAGTTCTCAAGATAGATAGTATGACATGTTATAATGGCAAAGGAAATGCAAAGGCTTCTGGGAAAAATAAAATAATTTAAATTGAATGCAAGGATAATAGGTAGCTCAGTAGGTAACAAAATAACTCCACCTAAAAGATAATGATGATGAATTTCTATTGTAGTACTGAAGACACTTTGCAGGCCCACCAAAGATCTCAACCCTGCACCATGTTCTAGGCAGTATATATTTCTAGGTTTGACAAATGTTGCAGAAGTTATGCTCATCAAAGTAGCTGAGACATACACTGGAAAGAAAAACAAGTATATGGGCAAGCAAAACAGGAATTTCTGTAGGATTTTAATTGTGTTAGAATAATAAACAAAAACTAAATGGTTGATATAAGGGGATTAAAGATGACTGCGTGAGAGATGAGATAGAGACCTCTTCCTAAAACTACATACAATATGAAAATATAATTTAATACAACTAATCCTGAAAGAGCAACAGGAAAGAAGGCTGCACCAGACTGTATACACCAGGAGAAAAGAGCAGACCTCACAGAACAGTATAACATACCAAAGCTGTGACCTGGCAGGGTCCAAGCCCTTCCCCCACCCCAGGTCACCAGCGGGAAGAAGAGAAACAGAGCAGGGAGGGAGTGGAGGCCTGGAACTGCTGAACACCTAGCACTGGAGACCTGCCCCAGGAGCATGAACCTATATTGCATGGTGCCCTGGTGATTTAGTGTGGTTGGAAAGCTAAATAATACCTGGAGAGATGGAGATTTTAGCTGCTTGTGGAAAACAGGTATTCATATCTGGCAGATATGGGTGGGCAGTCTAAGAGACTTCCTAAAAGTGAGAGGGCTGTTAAAGGGGCAAGGATTGCACAGAGCTTACTACTCAGGAGAAAGGACATGCAGACAAAATTGTCCAGGTGCACTCTGTCCAGCAGGTTGGGAGCTTAAACCATCTTCAGGCATTCCATACCCCTGGTTGGCTACACAGCTCCAAGGCCCCCAACTAAGATTTGCAGGCTGCTGTGTCTTCCCCCCAGCTAGCCTGTACCAGGCTTGCAAACCAGCAACCCCTGCCATGGCATCAGGCCAGCCAGAAGGAAGCCCAGCCTATGGCAGCTACAAACACAAAGCATAGAGGCTTACACCTGTGTCTTTGGACCACTGGTTCTGGCAGTGGAGACAGGCATAGCATCCGGAAAGGAGGAAACTGCACTTTCCTCCCCCCTAGCACCAACACTTCCCTGTGACCCCGACATTGCTCCAGGGGCTGAGCAGCTCCATAGAGTAGAGCTTCTGGACACTAGAGGGCACCACAGACAAATTATGAAACATCAAAGGAACCTGGTTCAAAGCAAAATTATGAATCACCTGAGAAAGATTCAAATGATATCAATCTCATGGATCTTCCTGAAAGATATTTCAAAATAAAAATCATTAACATGCTCATGGAGGTACAGAAAAATATTCAAGAACTCAGGAACAAATTTAGGATGGAGATTCAATTGTTGAAGAACACAATGTTAAAAGCATATTAGATACAGTGGAGGAGACAAGAAATGAAATACAAATTAGGGAAGAGGAACACAAAGAAGCTGAGGCACAGAGATATAAAAGAATATCTAAGAATGAAAGAATATTGAGAGAAATGTGTGACCAATCCAAACAGAACAATATTTGTATTATAGGGGTACCATAAGAAGAAGAGAGAGAAAAAGGAATAGAAAGTGTCTTTGAGGAAGTAATTGCTGAAAACTTCCCCAATGTGGGGAAGGAGATAGTCTCTCAGACCATGTAGACACATAGATCTCCCAACACAAGGGACTCAAGGAGGACAACACCAAGACATACAATAATTAAAATAGCAAAGATCAAGGATAGGGACAGACTATTAAGAGCAGCCAGAGAGAGAAATAAGATCACATACCAAGGAAAACCCACCAGGCTAACATCAGACTTCTCAGCAGAAACCTTACAGGCCAGAAGTGAGTGGCATGATGTATTTAACACAATGAAGCAGAAGGGCCTTGAATCAATAATACTTCACTGGCAAGGTTATCTTTTAAATTTAAAGGAGGGATTAAACAATTTCCAGATAATCAAAAGATGAGATAATTTACGTCCCACAAACCATCTCTACAGTGTATTTTGGAGGGACAGCTATGGACAGAAGTGTTCCTAAGGTTAATTATCTGTCACCAGAGGTAATAAAGAGGTATAGACAAAGAGTACAGAATGTGATACCTAATATTTAAATAATGGAGGAGGAAGAAAAGGAAGGGGGAAAAAAGCACCTTTAGATTGTGTTTGTAATAGCATACTAAGTGAGTTAAGTTAGACTCTTAGATAGTAAGGAAGTTACCCTTGAACCTTTGGTAATCATGAATCTAAAGCCTGCAATGGCAATAATTACACACCTATCAATAATCACCCTAAAGATAAATGGTCTGAATGCATCAATCAAAAGACATAGTCACTGAATGGATACAAAAACAAGACCCATCTATATGCTGCCTACAAGAGACTCACTTCAAACACAAAACATAGATAGACTAAAAGTGAAGTGATGGAAAAAGATATTGCATGCAACTAATAGGGAGAAAAAAGCATGTGTTATAGTACTTGAATCAGAAAAATGGACTTCAAAACAAAGAAAGTTACAAGAGACACAGAAGGACATTACATAATGATAAAGGGGTCAATCCAACAAGAGGATATAACCATTATAGCTATCTAAGCATCCAACACAGGAGAACCTATATATGTAAAACAAATACAAACAGAATTAAAAGGGGAAATAGAATGCAATGCATTCATTCTGGGAGACTTCAACACTACACTCTAAAGGACAGATCAACCAGACAGAAAATAAGTAAGGAGACAGAGGCATTGAACAACTCATTAGAACAGATGGACCTAACAGACATCTACAGAACTCTCTACCCAAAAGAAGCAGGATACATATTCTATTTCAAGAGCACACGGAACATTTTACAGAACTAGGCCACAAAAGGAGCCTCAGTAAATTCAAAAAGAATGAAATTGTACCAACTATCTTCTCAGATAACAGGGTATAAATCTAGAAATAAATTGTACACAGAAAACAAAAAGACACACAAACACATGGAGGCTTAATGACATGCTCCTAAATAATCAATGAATCAATGACCAAATTAAAACAAAGATCAAGCAATATATGGAGACAAATAAAAACAACAGCACAATGCCTCAACTTCTGTAGAACACAGGGAAGGCAGTTCTAAGAGGGAAACATATAGCAATCCAGGCCTTTTTAAAGAAGGAAGAACAATCCAAGTGAAGAGTCTAAATTCACAATCATTGAAACTGGAAAAAGAAGAACAAATGAATCTCAAACTCAGCAGAAGGAGGGACATAATAAAGATGAGAAAAGAAATAAATAAAATTGAGAAGAAGAAAACAATAGAAAAAATTAATGAAACCAAGAGCTGGTTCTTTGAGAAAATAGACAAAATAGATAAACCCCTAGCCAGACTTATTAATAAAAAGAGAGAATCTACACACATAAAGAGAATCAGAAATGAGAAAGGAAAAATCATGACAGACACCACAGAAATACAAAGAATTATTAGAGAATACTATGAAAATCTATTGCTAACAAACTGGACAACCTAGAAGATATGGACAACTTTCTAGAAAAATACAACCTTCCAAGACTGACACAGGAAGAAACAGAAAATGTAAACAGACCAATTACCAGCAATAAAATTGAATTGGCAATCAAAAATTACCCAAGAACAAAACCCCCGGACAAGATGGATTCACCACTGAATTATAACAAACATTTAGAGAAGACATAATACCCACTCTTCTTAAAGTTTTCCAAAAAATAGAAGAGGAAGGAATACTTCCAAACTCATTCTATGAAGCCAGCATCACTCTAATACCAAAACCAAGCAGAGACACTACAAAAAAAGAAAACTACACAACAATATCCCTGATGAACACAGATGCAAAAATACTCAACAAAATATTATCAAACTGAATTCAAAAATACATCAAGAGGATCATACACCATGATGAAGTGGGATTCATCACAGGGATGCAAGGATGGTACAACATTTGAAAATCCAT